CGTGGTCGCGCGCGGTAAGGGAGAGGAACGCGCGGAGGAGAGAGAGAGAGAGAGAGAGAGACGCGAGAAAGAAAGACGCGCAGGAGCGTGTGCAGGTTCGTGATTCGAAGTAGGTGGGCCCCAGGTAGCCAGGACAGATAACACCCGAAGATTACCGCGGACAGAGTCATTAGCAGCGTCGGCTTCTGTGTCGGCCAAGATATTCTCTCACTTTCCTCCCCTGTCGTCGTCCCTCTCTCGCTTACGTCCCGCTCCCACCACCCTCTTCTCCGCGGTGCGGTTTTATCTGGCCGGTCAATTCACGCGGCACGATATATACACCGGACCGTTTCAGATCCTACCACTTGCTTTCCATCGTCCGACCACCTCCATCTCCCNTCCTTCACGCTCGAGGAGCATCTCGCGATACTAGTTCCCCCTTTCCTCTCCCGCGCATCCTCCTGCCTCTCTCTCTCTCTCTCCTTCTTTTTATCCCCCATTCGCCGACATGTTCGACGGGCAAAATCTACCGCGAAAGACGCGCATTCGCCGCGCTCGAGCGAGCCCAGATTAGAGTCCGGAGAAATACTAATTGCTCCGATCGGCGTTCGCACATATTTTCCACGGCGCCAGAGGCGTGTCGAGGCCGAAGGTCCACCGAGAAACGAGATAGAGGTGAGGGGGACCGCCGGGGCGTCGTGAGGTAGGGACGCCGGAAGGGGGATCGGCGGCGACGGTACGGGAAGGAGAGAAAGAAGGAGAGGCATTCAGCTTTGATAGGCTAATGACAAACGCCTAGATTGCCGGCTTATCACCCGGCCAGCGCTAATTATTTCTCCTTTGTGCCGCGCCGCGCATAATGGCGTCCGTGCGAGGGAACGAGGAGGCTCTCCTCCTCTCTTTTCATCTTGCACGGTGTGTGCCATACGATTTACACGCACGAGCGTGTCGGCGGATTTTATTTGTTACCGCGCGCGCGGACGTGAATTTCTCGCCGCGGATTGGATGGCGTTGCGCGCCACGGTCGGTCTTCCACTTATGCCTCCACGCACGGTGATTATCAGCCGGCTCTGTGTTCCCCGACGCGACTTGGACCTTTGACCCCCCGGGCGTCCCCCGACGTCTGCCGACGATCTCTGTTTTTCCTGTGCCGGACGTGGCCCGACCCGGCCGCGGATTTTCGTCCGCGAGAGCAACAAGCGGCGGACGCATTGATTTTACAGCCCCCTTTGCGTTTTTTCGCTTCTCCTGTCTTATTGAAAGAAAGAGAGAGAGAGAGAGAGAGAGATGTGTCGCGTTGTGTGGACATTTTTAACATCGCATAAATGCTGATTCAAGTACAGTTTCAAATCAACTGTTTTAAACTAGAGATAATGCTATATGTCACATTCGAAGTTTCGAAACTTCAGTATAATTCGACATTTGTCGATAAAATTCGAAAATCCGAAGTCGAATTACTCGAAGGACTCTGTGCGAAGATTTGAAACACCGAAGTTGCTAATAGAATTAATTTTGGAGAGTGCAACAAAATGCTGTGCAATTAAAGAGTATCAGTTTAACCCAGATAACATTGAGACGTCGTAAAGATGTTTTTTTAGATAATAAGACGTCTAAAGGACTTTTTCCAAACGTCTCTTAGACATATATAATGTTTGGATATCTTTTTAATTCAATTTTGAACAAGCCTTGATTCTTGTGAAGTTCCTGTTTTCCATGTCCAAAATCTTCCGTCACATAATGTTTATTAACACTTTAATGGCCGCACGTCTACGCAGTCAAACGTCGCCAGGGACCGGGAATATTTTTGAAGAATTAATTTAAAAAAACTTTATTAAAATTTGTTGTTTACATTCATAAATCATCACACAGAGAGTGTGGTGTGGTACTGGCCAATAATCTTCGGCGGTAGCATCACACACATGTTGTGTGAGCGGCCATTAAAGTGTTAATGCAAAACACGATTTATATCTTTGACAAAAATGAACATCGTCCGTAACACACATTCTTTCTACACAGAGATATCGTTACGTTCGCGCTGACTCGTCATTAAGAGAGAAGCGGTCTAATTGTTTCGGAAATTTCAAGTTAGCGCTATTAAGAACTTTTCCCCCCGGATAGCCGCGAAACTTTCCCGGACTAATGTATTTGCCCACTCTTTGAAGAGCCCACGCCATAATCCTCCCGGCGGTGCCGTTTCCCTGCGCATTTATCCGCGGCACTTTGCGATTCGCCAAAAGACACGTCGCACTCGTGCCCGCTTTTCAGGCGTTTTTCAACCGCGAAAGTTCGTTCCTCGAGTGCATGGTAATTACCTGAATTCCGGAGCGAAACGTCGCCGCATAAACAGATTTATCGGCCAACAGCGCCGCGAGGATGCGTTCCCCCCGTTTCTCGTAGACTCGTAGAATGTCCTTCGCGATCTTGTTAGTCGCCTGTTAGTTCCGCGGATTAAAGCGACGAGCGATATCTGCATAAAACGGGAGAAATCACGCGGAGAGAAATGCGGGACGGAATGATGAAGCAGGCACGGAGAAGAGAATGAAAATAGACCGGCCGATGCCGGTCGAGAGTCAGTATCGAGATCACGCTTTTTAATCGCTTTTTCCGCTCGCAAGTATGACGAATTAACGATTAAATGAATTTCAAAGGTCGTGCTTCTTTAGATGGACTCGGTTCGCCCGGAATGAGTTTTAAGATGACTTCTCATCGCCGGTGGTTTACGAGGATTTGAATAAATCGGAGCACGTGCGTGCAATCCGATTTGTTCACGCGGCCGCGATATCCGTACATTTCATATCATTATGTAATGATCCGGTCATCACGGATAATTACGGAATGTTGTGAAAATTTTAAGGCTTCCGCGAACAATCCCCGGCACGTCTGGCTTTCCAGTTCATAGACTAACCCGGTATTAATATTTTAATGACGTTGTCCATGATGTATGCGAAGAAACTGAGGATATTGGTGTATCAGTTTGTGCTGCGTTTTATTACGAAGCTCGTAATTTAAATTACTTTACTACACACATATCCACGCACATGCGGGCGCGCAGCTCTCGCCGCGTTATACAGCTCTTGCGCTTGTAAAATTTATTTCTTGTCCGAGTTTTCGGATCCGATATAAGACGAACCGCAACAATCTCGGATAATAAATGTTTCCTTTGACGAAGGTGAGGATCTTTTTTGGTTTATAAGAGAGAGAGAGAGAGAGAGAATCACCTCGAGCTCCTCTCGCAGTGGCGGATGAACCGGTTTCGACGCTACGCTGAAATTAATCTCGCTCCTCCGCTCCATACGATGTTAGTCACGATATACGAGTGATAAGCACGATATCGATATGTTTTATTTGGCGAAGTGGCAGCGAGACTGCGGATTCCATTGAATTAATAAGGGAATTCGATTGAGCCCCCCCCCCCCCCNCCCCCGGCTAATATCCAGAATACGGTCGGCCATGTTTCGATGCGCGTCTATCGATCACTATGTATGCACCGATAACCACTGTATAAATTATGCCTACGGCGATCGAGGCCGGCCTCACAATAGCAGCGGGACGGAGGGGCGAGGGGTCGGAAGTGGTCCGTCGCGGACTCGAAAATCCATCTTCGTGAATTCGACAGCAGAATCGAGCGATGACACGGCTTCCGGTGCGATCGATCGTCGACGTTTTCGACCCCCCTTTCCCGTAATTTGCTCGTTACCGTTCACGTATTAATCTCTCTCTCTCTCTCTCTCTCTCTCTCTGTTTCTCTCCTTACGTAAGAACGCGACGTACTGCTACGCGTGCGAGCGGCGCCTCGTCTCGCCCTTTTCGTTTTGCGTGCCGGAATAATTCCGAGCAGCCTCGTGGATCGTAATAAAGGCAACCTGTGCCCGGCAAATTTGCTCGGATGCGATGTAACTCTCGCGAGCGACTCGCCTCGTGCATATTCGCGTTCGTTTAGCAAGATCGATGGGCGTCCGTCTGTGTAACGCGAGCCCTAATCGGAAGGTAAAGTCGACAAATTACCGTAATCGGGGAGCGAGAACGAGAGAGAGAAAAAGAGAGAGTAAGAAAGGGGGGGGGGGAGAGGGAAGAAGCGAGAAAGAGAGAGGGAGAGGGAGAGAGAGGGCGCCGAAAGTTGGTTGTTATAATAATTTGACAAATTTGTACATCGCACACTAAACAGAAGCAATTTGGTGCTAAGCGCGCGTGCTAAACCGTTACGTACGTTGTGAAACGGTAAACACGCACCATTTTATCATAGTCATTTCTGCCAATTAGCAAGCCGCCCCGATGTTAATAACGAATATCGGGCATGTCTCTGACAAATAATTACGTTTCCAATGTAAATATGTAACTACGATCGTCATCGTCAGCGACGATAAAACCGCGGGCGGAAACACCACGGCCGAAAAGCTCGGCTCGCGTTTGCAGACTATATCGATCGGCACGGCATGATGCATCAGTGTAATAGCCGCTTTGCCAAGCTCGTTCCTCCGGCCCGCACGGAACTTTATGAAATCCTTGCACGAAGATTAATTAACGGGGAGAAGAAGGAAAAAAGGTGGGAGATAAAGAGAGAGAGGGGGAGAGTAACGTGCGGGCGCACACGGTCGTGTGATTAAAGGCAACACCTTCTTGACACTCTTTTTAATCTGACGTACCTCTATATTTTTCTTCGTGCGTCGCGTCGCTTTTTCGTTTTTCTTAATTTTGCGCCGCGCCGTAGATCATTTTCAGACCACGCCGATCGCGGGAATCGACGACCATCGTCAAGTCGATGTATATCGTCGTTCGTAAAAGTGAGATGAATTTTTTCTACAGAAATTCTGAAGACGCGGGAACGCACCTGTCTTGGAATAAACCAAATTCAGCTTACACGTTACCACGCGTACTTTCTCTCGTTTCTAAAGAAACGCGTCGTAAGACGGCGATAATCGAGCGATTGGTCTGAAAGTGCGAAGCGAGATAATTGCAAACGCTTCTTTCCTACGTTAGCATAAAATAGTCTGTCCCAATATATGCTCCCTCCTTTATTGCAGACGATACTGAACTCGATGCATAAGTATCAGCCGAGGTTTCACCTCGTGCGAGCCAACGACATCCTGAAGCTTCCGTACTCGACGTTCAGGAGTTACGTTTTCAAAGAGACGGAATTCATCGCCGTGACGGCCTATCAGAATGAAAAGGTAAGCGATCTTTGGCTTCTTTGATCTACGAGAAAGATCCTGCATGATTCGATTAATTTCATCAATTTCCCAGCGTTCTGCCAGAAAATCGAGAGAAATATACTTGGAGGGGAGGAGGGGGGAAAGAACACGTTTTACACCGTTTGAGAATTCTCGTAGAAAATCAAAATGAGACTTATTCCGTCTTTTTCGTCTAGTAAAAATCATCGATGATAGCGGAAAACGTTTCTCACGCATTCCACCTTCTATTCTACCAAAGTTCGACACACCGTTCTCGAGAGAGCCACAAAATTCGCGCAAGCAGAAACAAGCATTCGCGCTCGGGAAGAATGATTTACACGGTTACTATCTTCGTGAGTGGCGCGCGTTTTAGTTTCTGGTTTAGTCTCTTCCCATTAATTAATGTCTTTCTTCGCCTCTGCGGCGTTCAAGCCGCCACGAATGCGAGGACCGTTTCGCGGAATAACGAGTCTTCTCGGTATGTCATTATTTTCAATGGTGAATGAGTTACTCACACGCACACCACGTGGGCCGTAAGAAGAGACGAAGCCTTGTACAGATTTTGGGTAGGTCGGTTGTACGTAGGGCTATATATTTCTATCTTAATTATCGCGCCTTCTCGGTATATCGGGCGAAGGAAGAGGTGAAAGATTATTAGCTAGAGCGTTCGTGCGAATTCACGGTTTAGAATTTAACGAGAATTCTCTTCTCGATTCATGTTCATCTCTCGAGCCCAAACTTAAAGATAGTTATTTTCTGCGCAGATCACCCAACTGAAGATCGATAACAACCCCTTCGCGAAAGGATTTCGGGACACTGGCGCGGGGAAGCGCGAGAAAAAGTGAGTATCGCTTTTAAAACTGCATTCTGCAGCGCGATGTATTCTCTCAACTCTTTCCCGAAATTGAAGAGGATAGAAAGCAGATTCACATATGCCAGATACAAAATTTCACTCTTAGAGATATTCACTCGATAAACACTCTATCCCATTGCTACGGAGTTTAACCGAATTTGCAAAAATGTTCATCGTATAAAATATCAGGAAAGAGTTGAAAGGAAACGGATCAAAGTGGACTAAGTGTCCTTCGTCGTGTATCCGAGGCGGCCGGAGAAAAAAAAATCACACGAATAAACGATCCGCATCTCAATACAGGACGGATTAAAAACTACCCTCGATGCAAAACAGGGATGCTCCCTCCTCTCTCTTTCTCTCTCTTTGCGGCGCTTTCCGAGAAGAGTAAAGAGCGAATCTGTCTTCGGGGTCGACCTAATTGATCGTAGACCTTTCGAGCTTCCCCTCGATCGGTGCTATTATGCCGACCTTAGGGTCACCCCCGGAGCTAAGGGTTGGTTTCACAGGGCTCATTTGCACTCCGCATCGCCGGCAGTGCCGTCCATTTGTATTCAATATTGCGGGTTTATGAGCTTATGTCAGCGAGAGCTTCCTCGAGGGGGATGCTGGCCCGTTGTTGCCGCGGACCGGGCTGCTATGGAAATCCATTTCGATCTCATTGGTCGCAGGGTTAAAACTCAAGTGGATTTTCATGAAATTAAGTTGCCATGCATGGCAATTTAAACTGCTCTTAATCTCGCTCCGCAATTCTCGTGCGAATATATTTACAATACTTATCGTCATATGTAAAGTGAATCGAACTATTCTTTCTATGCAAAGATCTACATTTGCTATCAATATGTAATTCGCAAGTAATTAAAAAAGCATTTTAATGTTGAATGAGCCGGTTCCGCATAGTGATTCCGATTGTTATAAATTTGACAAGAAAATTACGCGCGGGTGCTGCGCATGTTTGAGAAAAATATATAAGATAAAATAATATTCACGTACGTGCGGTGTGTCAATAGAAACTCGCTCCACTTAGCATTATTGTGGACGGAGCTACGCTTCTCATAAATCTATCGTCGATTGCGCGAGCCAACTTGCCCGTCGCGGTGCCAATGTGCCTTACAATAAGGGCATCACGGAAGGAAAATAGGCTGATGTAAGCCGCGGGTCAGAAAATTTTCCGAAAATTGCGGCGGTCTGCGACGTCGAGCGGATAAAGAAAGGGCGAGGTTAATCGAGAAAATATGCAAAGCAGGGGGCGCGTCGCGGCACCGCCTAATTAGAATAAGGGTTAGTTTTGGCTTATGGTTTCGGTTAAGGGTGGTTGGATGCCATCAGGATGCCACAGGCTAGAACTAGCTAGACAGAGAAAGGAGAGTGAGAACGACCGGGAAACACCGAAAGTGCCGGGAGCGAGACAAAGACGAAGAGACGAATCGTGAGAGAGAGAGAGAGAGAGAGAGAATAACGTGGCGAGAGAGGGATCGGGGTTGGAACATAGCCAATCATCGGATTAGCATACTGATGCTCAGGGGCGGCGCTGTCGTTAACGTGGAGGGTGCCACTTGGCGGCTTTGAATTTTATATTGGCCCTACAGATCGTTTTGTGGCTGCACAAAGAACGCGCTTTGAGAGCGCCAGCGGGAGCGGATCTCCGATGAAAGCGCGGAAACCGCTCTTCCTACGGTCGTGCATGCGTGGCTCTTTCGCATACTCTCTTCTGCATACGATCAAAACTTTTAAACGTGCGCCACATTAGATTGATAACAACGATATTTCGCGCGCGAGCGACGCGAGCTGTGACGAGGAAACGGAGAAATGACTGATATAAAAGTATCATGCAGGAAGGACTGATCTCTCTCTCTCTCGTCTCGGGGAGGCGACTTCGCGAATAATTCGCGCGACCGTTAAAGTAAATGCCCAGCCACGGCTGGTGATCAGCGCGCGGGACACGACAGGAAATCACCGCACGCTTCTCGAGTTATAGCGTTAAACAGCGCTGACAGCCGGTCGATGCATTGTTTCGTTAATTTTTTTAACAACTCGCGACGTGCGGCGCGTTTCGTCACGAGACGAGTAACGCGCCGCTCGAGCGTGACGAGTCGATTCGCCACGCTGTTTAAAAAAATATCCGGGCAGAAGGAAAAGAGTGAGTGAGTGACAGAGGAAGAGAGAGAGAGAGAGAGAGAGAGAGAAAGCAGAGCGGGGACCGGCGCAGCGAGTTGTCACGTCATTTATCATCATACCGCCGCGGAAAGATCGTATTGCGATACGCGGCGAATTAACTCGTTCGCTCGTGAAACTCCCATGACCGCGTTATAATACGTACCAACGCGGGCGATATGTATTTTCTAGCGGGCCCATTAACGCGGGTGTTAAATTAATGGCCTTGACACTGAGGAGAAAGAGAGACCGAGAGAGAGGGAGAGAGAGGGAAGGAGAGAGAGAGAGAGGGGGGGGGGGGGGGAANGAGAAAGGGTGCGAGGGAGGGAAACAAAGAGAGAGACCATTGTCTCCGGGGTTAATTCTCCACGATCGATACCCGCTTTCCGCGTGTACGCGCATACCCGTCCTCCGATTAATGAGCGCGAATCAAAGCGCGCCGAGAAATTTGCACCGGAGGCTGCCGAGTTTTACTTAACTTTTGCAGTTAATTATATTATCCCGCAAAGCAGCGGGAACCATTGGAATTCCTGTGCGTTCTCCGCATTGCAACAAAGCATTCCTTCGAGGTGTAATTACAATCGGATCGGGCCCGGGGCTTTATTCATGATTTTCGTGGAAAATATCCACCTTGTCGTACGGTGGTACGCGCGATCGGGGAGAAAGAAAAAGGGAAATTCACACTGAGACTAATGAGAAAGCGCTTCAAGTGGTTTTATCTGTGCGATAGGGGAGGGGAAGGAGGCGGTGGCGATAATTTGTTACCCTTTTTATCGCGCGGTCTCTATTCTCGGGACGTCGCTCGCCAACTAGCGCGGCTTCCGCAGCGATTCGACACGGCCGATGCTGATCAACGATCGTTGATAACGCGAGTTTTTGCGGGGCGATTACAATACGCGACGATAAGTCCAAAGGGTGCAGCACAAAGTGCACACATTTAATAGGAAGCCTCTATCTCGCCCGTAAAATCGCTCCCTTTTGTACGGCGATTCAATGTTTCAGAAAAAAAAGAAGAAAAAAGAAGAAAAAAAGTCTCGCGATTTCTCCGCTGCGACTCGCGCAATCCGCGAGTGAAAATATTCAATTCCGCGATCTAATCCAGAATTAATTGGCGCATCACGGATCCTTTCGGCGAGCTCGAACAAAATTTCCGGGAACGTTCCTAATCACGCGAGGGAAACTCGATGGTACGTTACCGTCGACAATCGAGTCGAATGACGGGCCGGGGTTACGAGGGGCGCGGCGTCCGGGGCAAATCTAATGCATCGTCTCGTGCGGCCCGAACAAACCTAAGCCTCGTGTAAGTCTCGGCTATAGTCGTTCGCACAACGAGAGGCTTACCAGCGCCTTAATGCCATGTAATGCGATCAGTTCACTAATACAGAGGCGCGCTCTCGCTCGCCCGCCCGAGGTGCATCCGCGTCAGATGCGCGCGCGCCGCCGCTACGGACGCTCCTCGTGGATGCATCCGTGACATGCACTCGTTGCACAGCCCCGAGAGAGGGTGTGCGGGTTCTCTGGTTTCTGTACGTAAGTGCGAGAGCGCGCCAAATCAATAGTTCGCCGAGGTGCATCCGCCGTATGCGATTCTCGTGTGTGAGCGCGTCTTCCCTCGCCCCGCGCCTGGGGGATGTGCACTTTTATTCGCACTCGCTCACCCCTTCCCTCCCCCCCCCCCCCCC